CAGAAGCCAAGGTGCGCGGGTTGTGCGCGACTCAGGTCATTCACCAGAATCGTATCATATCATACTCGTACGTTATCATTATTCATGCTCGTATGCCTGGCTTTCTTCCGATCCCGTCCCCTCCTCACCCTCGGAGCCCGTCCCTTCCCCACCTCACCCAATTGGAGCCCGCCCCGTCCCGTCCCCCGCCTCACCCTCAGAGCCGTCCCTTCCCCTGCCGTCCCCGCTTCACCCTCTGGGCCCTCCTTGCCGTAGCGCCCACATCTCTCCGCCGTGACGGCGTGACGGTACTCGCCGTGACGGCGTGACGGTACTCGCCGTGACGACGTGACGGCACACGTGGCCGGCGGCTTATCGGCGCCTGTCCGCGACCTGGGCCAACAGCACCCCGCCCCCAGCTAGCGTCATCGGTCACAGCCGACAGCGACCGACGGGGACCGGGACGGAACGGGACGGTATCTCCGGGGGATCACCCCCGACTCCCTACGGTCTCTTTGTAGCCGTCTAAGGCACGAGAATGAATCTCAGAACACCTCATGAATGAATACATGAATCCGTTCGAAGCGAACCCGTGTTGTGTCCCTTGTGGCCTTGTGGAATAGGATTTGCAGACTATTTAGCACATGTTTGCTTCTCACATTTGTAGGTACGATCAGGGGGCTCAGGGGTAAACCCTGTCGCCGTCGATGCCGTATGAAACGATTGCTGTTGACTCAATGCCGCTATAGCTCATGACGCCACTGCCCACTAGAGGAAAATGACAGCCGAATCCGTTCGATTTACAGGACATAAAATCGAACAATCGTTCCGGTTTCGTCAGTTTCTCGACTTCTCCGTAGGTACTTTATGATGGGTAAATCTGCACCTGTCCTAAGTAGTGTGCAGGATTTCCGACCAGTGCCGGATCTTCTGCTTCACAGGTGTGCTTGCCAGATACAGTACGCTGTATCGTGGATCAACAAAAGACAGCGGTCTTCGGAATATGCACCAGCGTATGACATGGTTTTGATCATAGATGAAGATAATGCGACACACGTGACACGCGGAACAAAAGGAAGGCAACCAGAGGCGAGCTGGGGACGGTCCCAGGTCATTGAGCTCGGACCACCCGCGTATGTGTTCCGTCTGTCGTGAATGGAGCTCAGAGCACCCGTGTGTGCTCCGTCTGTCGTGACACACAACCGGTCCGGACGGGTCGCACTCGCCGGGGCTGTCGGCCGCGCAGCGCGACACGGGAGCCGCGCACGAACCATGGAGGCGACAGTGCGCGTCCCTGAGGTAACCCTGGGGGCGACAGTGGGCGTCCCTGAGGTAACCCTGAGACGGCGGTCGGCGCCAGACCCCCGCTGATAAGGGCCGATGGTCTGAAGGGTGGTACGGCGTGGTATGCTCGGGCACGATGCCGTTCGTAGGAGCGCGCACAGGCGGACAATGACACGCACACTCGGGCGATAAAGCGCACACGCGTACGCCGTACGGTGTGCGACCTGTAAACGGATCCGGCTTGGAGCGAGGCGCGGGCGACAGGCCGTTCGTTAGTGTGGACAGACGGAGACCGCAATCTACTGCACAGTTTGTGTGAGGGCGGTGGCCTGACCCAGCATTGGGGGGAGGAGAGGGCGGTGACCTACCCTGTCCCAGCAGCGGTAACGGGAGGGTAAAGTGGCCAGACATGGTCGTGGAAGGTGAGGCAGTAAGTAGTGACCTGACCCGACCGCAGGGCTGTACGTGGGGAGTACGGCACTTCCCAGATTTACCGCAGTTTGAGATCCTTTCCGCAGTTTTGCGCTAAGGCGAGCTGCATACCACTATTGGTCAGAACTAACAGGACACGGGATTACGTCTCGGAGGGGGGGGGGGGAGGTGAATCAGGGTCGGGTGATATAATGCAGCTAAGCACGTGTGCTGCATGTGGGAATTGTTCCTTTTACTGTTTGCTCACTAACGTTGCCCGGCAAACACAAGGGCTGCTTTTCATCACCCGGGTGCAGCCGTTTTCAGCCCCCGGCTACTCAGTATGGGTCAGACAGTTTGACCAGCGACCGCGCGACTGTCTGGCCGTCAGCCCACGGGCACCTTATTGGGCCGACCGGGGCCCCCTCCCTCCCGCCGCCGTCTGCATAAGGAATGAGCGCCGGCCGCCGTCGGCGCGCTTCGACGCAGCTGCCCCCTCCGCCGCCACCGACGAGGTTGCGGCGCGGGTCACAGCGTCGGTACTGACCTGGGGAGGTCGGACGGGGGTCGGTCCGTCGACGTTGGCTTATCTGGCGAGGCGAGACTGGCGATCCGGCGGCGGGCAGCTCACATACCACGTTACGTGCTGCGGGAGCGGCACTCACACCTGCACTGGCGGCCGGGCGCGCCGCCCAGCCGCCGCCGCACCGGCCGGCAGCGGTCTGCACAGGATCGAATTTGTACTCTTGTCTCCTCCCGGTGGACTCGCAGCCTTCGGTGTCACGACTATATAGGTGAATAATGTTAAATGCCATAAAGGTTATATTTGTGGTGTGTGACAGTCTGTGACTCATCCCTGTGTAAGCCCCTGCTCTGTCGGTGCCCCTGCTGAAGTCTAGGGTGGTTCAGTGGGGCGAGTCTCCGCACCTGGAAAACAGAGGCGGCGCCAGACACGCTGAAGGAGGAGCACCGGTGGCTCGGCGGGGCGGGCCGAGCGGGGCCATGGCGCGTGCCGAGAGGTCACCACGACGGAATGAATGGGGATTGGGGGTGTGTGCCGCCCGGCCGCAGGGGCGCGTCTCTCGCTCTGTCGCCGTGAGGGGTGGAGAATTAGGGGTTTTGGGGGTGCTCGAGCACCCCCTGAAACTCAAAAGTCACCATATAATGCTTAATAGTGCTGGCCAGGGATGATTAAATTAGGTACGTCTGCGGTCTGAGACACAAGTGACAAATTGATTTGCGTAAGTCGCGAGGAGTGTGATGCTGCTGGGAAAAGGTACCTATGTATATGTGCTTTTCTACGCAAGAATTCGACTCTTCCATTCGCCAGGTGCTAGAAAAGCACCCCCTGTGATTATGACAATTCTCCGCCCCTGGACTCGCCGTCATACAAGTTCAGTCATTGAGCGGTCAAGATTTGTGGCGATCTTTTCGTTCGAACTTTCAAACGTAGGTAAGTAGCTAGGCAGAAGCTAGCGTATAACTGACAATTTTTCGACAATAATCCTTAGCGGTCGATGTCGTGCGGGAAGAGGCGCAAGCGCCTCTTTCCCTAAGCGCGCGGTCTTTTGGCCAGCATTCCATGCTGATTCCGGGCTTATGGACGGTGTCGGCAGCGCCGAATCCTCCCTCTGGCTTTGTGTGGGACTCTGAATTCGGTCTGGCGAACGGACGGGATGATTGACACTTCCTGCGGGCAGTGGCGGCGGAAGCAGGGGGGCAAGGGGGGCAGCTGCACCCTAAAGCTATGGAAAGGGGCGCCTCGAAAATCTGTAGAGGAGGCAGGAAGTTAAGAGGTGCGGCAGCCATAAAGCTGAGCAGTGCGACACCGCAACTGATAAAGGCACTTGTGACACGAAGAGGGTGGCAATGACGTGAGAAAAGTATCTTTTGATATGCTGAAGAGTGGAGGGCATCCTTATCTGAAACAAAGGCAGATGCTGCCGACCCTGTCGAATATAATCTTGCCAGGCGATAAAGGCTAGGAGGGCGCAGCCACTCGAGAAGCGCGCCATGCGGAAGATGGGCGCCTGCATGCGAAAGAGGGGCGCCTGTGTGTGGGACGAAAAAGAAACATTTATGGAGACGTCTTTGAAGGCGATAGCCTCCGAACGCCAACACGAACATATGAGGGCTTATAGCGTTGCAGGCTCCATGCGACAAAAAGGGGCGCCTGATGGCCGATATGCGAGAGGAAATTAGTTTGTGTAACATTTATCGGGGGCGGTTTGCCGTTTACAACATATGAATGTTAAGGGAGGTCCGAGATTGGGGTCTGTAAAATTGCACTGTCCGTATGGGCGGTTACACCCCTAGTGCTAGGGCGTATTTTGCGTTTTTTTTTTTACTGGGGAGATGATTATGACCAGGAATAGCACTCTGCAAACTTCTATGGGTGCCTGTATAGGGGCGAAACTGATTTTCCAGTGCAGGGACGGCCATCGGCATTGTGGGGCGGCATTCATTCCACTGGGGCGTCTGCCAGTGTTGAAGGGCGGTATTCATTTCAATGGGGCGCCCGTTGGTGTTGATGGGCGACATGTATCACCTGGGGCGCCTATCGGAGATTGGGGCGGCATTAATTTCACTGAGGCGCCTATCGGCGTTGACGGGTGGTATTTATTCATCCGGGGCGCTTATCGGTGGTATAGGCCGGCATTCGCTTCACTGAGGTGCCTATCGGTGTTTTAAGGCGGCAGTAAATCCACTGGTGTCTGGGGCGCCTACCGGCGTCGAAAGGCGACATTCATAATTCATTTCACTGGGAGGCATATTGGTGTTGATGTGTAACATTCATTCTCCTAGGGCGCCCGGCAATGAGGGGGCGGCATTTATTCCGTTCCCCTGGGATGGGCCCCTATCGGTGTGGAGGAAACGTCTCTTCACTGTTTGTGTTACTACAACCTATATGGTAAGGGGCGCCCAGCGGGAAGGGGCGCTTCAATATCGTTTGCACCCCTATCCTAGAATACCTTCCGCCGCCACTGCCTGCGGCCCGCGCAAAAACTGAACCTGCGTCGGGCTGCAGCAATATTGCACAAAGCGGAATGCGCATTGCGTATTTATTTCCCTGGGACCGACCACTCTTCAGCGGTCTGGGATCCCTATGATAGGTTTTTTGGATGATGGCGTACAAACAAAGTGTATTCTGCTTGCTGCATGGTTTCTGCAATAGCTGTGTCGACTTTATTTGTCTTTCGCTTTTTCACTACTGTTGGTTTTGACAAGATTATTGCTGTAGATTAGAGTCACTGTTTTCCCTGTCCTTGAAATGATTGCATGTGAGGCGTTTCTGACGCACCCGGTTTTCAGCGTTGTTTGTTTGTGTCGTGTCAAGTTTGGTGTCAAGTGTCGTGTATTGTTTTTTCCACCCCCGGGCCAGCTTTCCGTAATTTTCGGTTTCGAGTCTTATCGAAATGTGATCTGAAAGTGTATTTCTTTTGAAGATAGGCAACTTGTTATTGATTCCATTCGTTCCTGAACAAAGGTATGGTGGATGCCCTCGCTAATAGTGAACCTTCAGAAACTTGTCTAATATAGTCAATGTGAGGGGTGAAAATCATCGTTAGCAAATCAGACTCATAGTTGAATAAGGCTATGCCATATATATATATATATATATTGAGATGGTTATCACTATTAGTAAATTAATATTGGGTATCTCAGCAGTCAGCAAAGCTAAAGCAGGTGGACGTGTTTCATCACAGGTAGACTATCAACAGTCAACAGTTCAACACGCTTTCCAAAAGAGAAAAAACAAACATCATTATACAATATACATGCATTACGAAACGTACCTACCGTACCAATATGCTGTGTTTGCACTTTGTATCGTTTCTTTGTTGGAAAGGGATTTTGATAAAAACAATGTGACGAAACGCATCAACCTGATTGTGCTTGTTACCTTTTTTCATGGTCTGAGAGGCTGACATAACCTGGTTTTTTCATCTTAGTTAATTGAATTAACTAACATCTGAACCTAGACAGATGGCAAACATGACCAAATTGCAAATTAAATTGCATGTGTCCTGTATGACAGCATTCTGATAACTTTTTGATCTAACCTGAACTACCAAACACTAACCTACCCTTATCAGCCAATGTAATTTCTCAAAACTTAACACAAACAATTGCAAAGTAGGATGTACCAAGTTTGTCAGTGGTGCGGTGCCATTGCAGTTACTTTTGTTTTATGATTTAGTGCAGAAATACTATAAGTATTCAGGTCTTGTGTCACTTTTTGAGGCATGAATAGTGTGTTCTCTCCTTTCATGAGTTTGTTTTGTGAATTCCTGCAGTTATTAGGGTGGGATAAAAGGTTTTGTTACCAAAATATTTGCATCACAATGTCTTATCAATGTGGCAATTGAGAAGTTGGGTGCCTGTTTGATATTGCCATGATGTTTTGAATTTGTCTGATTAGTGTTAAATGGATTTGTTTGTGTTTAACCCTCGCCGGACCTATTGGTTTTCTACATACGCGCCGGCCGAGGGGGGGGGGGCGGGTACGACACCCCCCCTCGCCGTTTCGCCCCTGGTGGAGCTAGCGCGTCGCGGAAAAAAAACGAGCGTGTGCGCCGTTACGAGACGCAGAGATTGGTACCCGATTTTAAGGTCCTAGGTCAACCGGTGACCTCTGAGGTCAGGTCAAAAGCCCCAAGGTACGGTTCAGTTTTTGGTGAATAACTTCGCAAAAAACGGCCGCAGAGCCGCGATTTTGGCAGCATCGTGTTCGCCTCGCTCAGGCGCGTCGAGTGATATACTTTTTGTTCGGGTCAGGTCAACTTAGGGTGTTGACCTCAGGTCAAGGTCAGGTCAGCACCCCAAGGTCACGAAGTTGGTCGAAAGAGGTCATGTCGCATATCATTCGATTCGGCAGGTCTTCCTGAGTCCATTGGTGGCCTTCCCGACTCGCTAGCTCAATTTGATCACGAGTTATTGACGAAAAACTAATATGACCTTGATGACGTCATAAATGACGTCACGCAAGGTCAACATTGCAAAAGTGACGCATCTAACCTTGCAAGGAGTGCATCAAATCACGATTCTGTGTGCTTGAGATAGTTGGAGATCGTTCCCGGCGCCAGAATAGCAGTTTTCATTTTTCCCCATTGACTTATACATAATGGTGAGGTCACGAAAATGACCTGACCTCATATGACCTTTAGGAAAAATCCGAGATATACAAGTTGTGAGACTCATAATGGATACTGGATCCTGCAAGTTTCATTTCCCTGTGACATCTCCTCTGGCAGTGAGGGCGTTGCGAAGTTGCGACATCTGAAGACCGTGCAGAGGTTCACTTATGACGTCATAGGTCATTGACCTGACCTGACCCAAAAATGCGGTTGGTGTCAAAAGATCCGGCTTGAATCAAAGGTCAGGTATGCCAAGTTTCAGCTCTCTATCGCCAGCGTGTTCGGAGCTATCGCGAAAAACCCTATGGGGGGGGGGGGGGCTGCACCCGCCCCCCCCCCTCGGCCGGCGAGGGTTAATACATATGACCATGCATTCTGTACTTTCAGTGCCAACAATGCAGCAGCCTCAGTGTAGTGGGGATGCCTTATCCTATGCCCACTATACCTTCAACCCTGCTCCCAGGAACCTGTACCCTCCATTCATTTATCCTGTGGTAAGAACAATGCTGTTTCTGTTTTTCCATGTCTTTAATTTACAAATAATGCTCATTAGTGCAGCAAATCAAAATATAAGTACAAATCATTGAGGTGAGATTACCTGACCCAGTGCCAACCTAATCTGATCTGACCTAATCCAGTCTAATCCAATCTAACCTGACTTAGTCTTAACTAGCCCCATGTCTACCTAACACCTACCTGTGGCAGAAGGGCAGGCTGGGTTATTCAGATTAGGTTGGGTCAGGTTACCTCAGGTGACATCTCCTCAATTGATTATAATGACATATGCTGCACTAAAAAGTACATTTGTTTTATTGAGGACATGAAAAACATGGAATGGAAAAATATGTCCTTGAAAAGCTGTTTGGACCTCAGCTTCAGCAATACATTCCTCTCGTATCATTTTCTGAGGCTGCTTAGTCCTGGCCATGGTTCCATAATTGATATAATGAGGCTCACAGCACGTTGATTTGTTCACTTGTATTGTCATCATTATCTGATGAATGGTGGCTTTATCAATATCATAGTTTATATAAGTGCTGTAACCAGATTTTAGTGCATGCGCTGACTGCATCATCAACAAATTGTGATAATGGCTGGCACGGTGCTCTAAAATCTAAATGCAGATGTGACCTGCAGTGCCAATATCGTTCACTGATGCTACACCGTTCTAACACCAGATGCCACGCAAGAAGACGCAGCCGGCCAATGTGGGCGAGGAGCTGCGTATCGCCGTGACGCTGGCGCTGCAGAACTTCCGACTCCAGGAGGACCAAGCAGGTAACTGGGGGATGGACAGAGATACAAACAGCCATGACTGCTGCTAACATCCAGTGCAGGGAGTCGTCAGTATGAACGGAAATTAGGGGTAAATTTCGTAGTGGTTTGAGTGAGCTGACAAAGTTCGTTTTTTCTTATTGTGAACATTACGGGCATGAAAATGAGTTAACGCTGCTCATTGCCATACAAGTATAATTTTGCCGCAGCTTGATGTTTTCATGTTTTTTTTCCAGAAATAGAATTTCCATCTTCTCTGACATCTACTGAGCGAGCTTTCATCCACAAATTGGCGGACTCCATTGGGCTGAAGTCGAAGAGCCGAGGGTAAGTGTATTATAAACTCCCCGTTCATTGCGGTTTTTCCGACGATGTCACAGATGATCATTCAAACCTTTTCAAAACATTTGAAACAGGGCATCCGAACTTCAATTCACCCATTCATCACAGTGGCTAGTTCAGTTGCATCTGTGTAGTATCCCATATTTCCACAAACTGTCCAAGTTTTCCAATTAGTTATACATATGTTGAAAAAGGCTGACCTCAAGCCCTGCGTTTTTCAGGAAGGCGGCCAACCGTTTTCTGACGGTATACAAGAAGCATGGCTCGACGATCGTTCAGGCGGACGCGGTGTTTGCGCTGGCGCGCATGTCTCGGCACCACGTCAGCTCGCTGCTCTCAAAGTTCCCGGTCACCAACCGGGAGCGACAGGAGCTGCTTCCGCCGACCGAGCGGGACCGGCTGCTCCAGCCCGACGGTAGGGAGGGGTGGTAGGATAGGGACCGGCTGCTCCGGCCCGACGGTAGGGAGGCCGGGTGGTAGGGTAGGGACCGGCTGCTCCAGCCCGACGGTAGGGGAGGGGATAGTAGGGTAGGGACCGGCTGCTCCGGCCCGACGGTAGGGGAGGGCATAGTAGGACTGGGAGTGATTATAGGGGTGAGGGCTGAGTATCTGATTCCGACCCAGCGTTAACGACGGTGCTGCAGCCTGGCGGAAGGGGGATAGGGCGGGGAGGGATGATAGGGGAGGAAAGCATGCAAGGGTGGGGACTGGGATGGATGGTAGGGTGGGGAGAGGCGCTACGATGGGGAGGGCTGAGCTACGGCCTTTGATCGAGCCGGCTGACTGCCGCGGCAGGGAAAGGATGATCGGGCGAATAGTGCGGCTGGTAGCACAAGGTAGGAAGGGCCTCCTGTACCTGGGGCGAGGGCGCGCCGGCAGCACCGGGGATAGATTCTGGTTCCGTACTTAAGGTGGCGTTCCGGTCGTGCAGAGCTGTCTGTGCCCGGGGTAGATGTTGCCCACCCCAGCCGTGGAGAATAGCTAGATGTAGATGGAAGCTGGTGGAGGAAATTTGTCGCAGCTGGGTGGCAGATGGCGCTGGTGTCGAGAGGTAGAGAGGGAACCAAGGAGCGCTGGGGTGCCAAGAGAGGAACCAGAGCTAGCGGTGGGTAGGGGGCGCTGTGGTCGATAAAAGCCGCGAGAGACTGGTGTTAGAGGGCGCCTGGGCCGCAGAGGGACCTAACCAGCCCAATAGCAGATGGCGCTGGGGCCAGAGGAGGCTCTGGCCTTAAATCGTGACATCATCTTTTTCAATTACGCCACAAATGGATCGTGCATTGTGGTTGACAAAATCCAGCGAGTGATATCATCGCCTCTATAATAATTGATGCTGAGTCTAAGCCAGACATCCGCTAACCCAACGAAAGAAAGCCCCAGCGCACGACCAGCGCTGCCGTCTGGTGCCCTTTCTTCCGACGCTGGAGCGATCATGGGCTTAGCTTGTCGTTTGTGCCGCAGTGGCAATATCATATTTATGACGTGATACCCGTGATATGACCTAGTCTGCACTGTGTCCTCTGCGCCATGGCCTTAATTGGGCCACGAACTGTGCGCTACGACCGCGGCTGTGCTGTACGTCGTGACCTCTGCGCTGTGACCTCTGCGCCGTGACCTCTGCTGTGACACCGCCTGCCTCGCTGTGCCTCCAGTTCGGGATGTGAACCGGGCGACGGGCCGACTGAACAGCGGCATCCCCCAGGTGCCGGGAGCGCGCGGCACCGGCGACCTGAGCCGGGCCGGCCAGCAGCTGCCCATCTGGCCGCTCAAAGACGACATCCTGCGCACGGTCGGCCACAACCAGGTCACCCTGCTGGTGGGCGACACCGGCTCCGGAAAAACCACCCAGGTGAGCGAACGACGAGCGGGCAGTGACGGCGGTCGCCGCCGAGCCACCGCCAAACCGCTGAGCGACTGCTGATTAACTCTGAGCGGCGCCGGGCGTGAGAGTGATCATATCAGCCATTCCTCAGACCATGATGAGGGAGTCTGGTATTTTGCAGGTTCGGTTTGATCAGCATAATCGTAAATATGTGATTCTTGAGATACCGTCAAACGGAGAAGTTATTCTAGTTGTGAAAGGTCACCCCAGACCTTTCACAAGTAACCTTTCTGGCTTAATTTACATAGGGTTTTTATATTTCCCTTTCTGATGGCTATGAACAATTAAGCTTACCAGGATTTTGACATGTACGCTGACCAGTAAAATGTTTTCAGAAGAAGACTCTTCGTAAAGCATAGCACTTTGATTAATGAATCAACCTTGGAAGTTGGAATAACATGAGTCGACTCCAGTTTCTTTTCAGCTCTCCAGTTTCAGTGTCTCTTTGTTAGGTAGAATGTGTCATCGTTTGAACCACAGACATCCAGCTGTAAAGAATAGGCTGGGATAGCGGTACTCTGACCTATCTGCAAGATATCGGCAAAAGGCTACAGGCTATGGCTGAATCGCGGATGGTTTTTGAGCGAAAACAAATATCCATTCTATCTAATAATACCCTGCACCTATTAGTAGCTCGCAGTGTATGTCATGTAAACCGTTCGTTAAAGAAATATTCCCAAAGCTTGTATTATATTACACACCGATGGTTATGAACGGTACAGCAATACGTTTGATCAGTCATACATAATGGTTCCACGGGACCCATTATGGGTGTGTCTGTAGCAAAGACCCTGTCCACGAGGGCGTCCGTAGTAACGACAAAGGTTCTATCCGTAGACTCTGCGTCCGAACTCATATCCACCACCGCTGTGTTAGCCGTAATGACTGCTACCGCCGCGGTTTCCGCGGTAGTATCCGCCGCCGCCGCCGTTTCCGCGGTAGTATCCGCCGCCGCCGCCGTTTCCGCGGTAGTATCCGCCCCCACCGCCTCTGTTTCCGTGGTAGTATCCACCGCTCCCGGGATGGTATCCGCCGCCGCTGTTTCCGCGGTAGTATCCACCGCCTCGTCTGCTCGGGAAACGGCTGAAGGATCTGCCTCCGTAGTACGAGCCGGATCCGACGGCGACTCCGACCAGAGCCACCAGCAGTGTCAGCTGTGGACGGGGACGGCGGTGGGGTCAGTGAGGGGATGTAATAGTGACCACCAGCAGCACCAGCTGTGGACGGGGACGGCGGTGGGGTCAGTGAGGGGATGTAATAGTGACCACCAAGTACCAGCTGTGGACGGGAGCGGTGGAGAGGTCGGGGTGAGAGGGGTGTAAGGTGGCTGTAGATATGGTTACAAAATCTTGGTTCAGTAGTCATGAATTGATTGCTGTTTGAGCCTTCTGGGGCCGCCAGAACCCGAGAACTCTGTCTTAAGGATGAAACACAGTTTTTTTTTTGCGTGCAAATTGCTTCACGCTCCTCCCATTGGAATACATGACATATTTTTCGTTCCCAAATCGTAGCTTGAAGCGCTGAGTGTTGGGAGCGAAACATATGCCATGTGTTCCAGTAGAGGAGCGAGACTGCGATTTGAACGCGTAAAAGCTCTGCTCAAGCTTTCGCGGGGATTGAATGCGCACTCTGCTGAAATAAGCATTAAAACTTTGACATAACATTTCAAGCTGAGCCAGTGTTTATGAATGATTCATCAAAAAACAAAAAACAAAAAACAAAAAAACTGGACCACAACGGTATGGTATCGGTTCAGAATGCATTTCAGTCTATTCCTTTTTGTTTCTAACACAAATTTATTGGAAGCTGTAGATAGTATTTCGGAGCAGGTGGTTGATAAGCCAGCTGCTGGCCCACCTGAGCTCCCTGCTCGCCCGTCACTCACCACCAGTTTGAAGTTCATGTTGTCAGAGGACGTGTTGTGAGTGGTCCGCTCGACTGCTGCCTGCTCTCTGCCGAACCCCGGCTCCCGGACGGCTTTTATACGGTACTGTGCCGGCTTATTTGCGGGTACTGTGCCGGCCGAGATGACCTTCCTCGCAGTCATCTCGGCGCTTGCAAGAGGTGTAAAGTTTTCGCTTTGTTTTTTCTTCGTTTGTTTGCAATGCAACCTCATTGTTAAAGCGATAACTTTGCAGAAATATGACCAATCTCAAATCTTAAGGTCGTACATATTGTAATTTGTAATCCTCGATGTATATTCATCGTACTTTGCAGTTTATGTCCCAGAATAGTTATGGTTATTGGTTCGATTTCATTACCTATCGTTAGCAAATATGGCGGTGAAGGTAACGGTACTGCCTGAGAAGACACTCCGAGCACCCTCAGTCGCCAATGTTTTTACTCTGTCTTCGCTCCCCTGTTCTATCATTTGAGCACAGTGATTGTGGTTGTTCGTTCAAGTGTAGTTATCCATATGAATGCTGACCTACAATCGCTATTGAGTCGATCGGCTTTATGGACTCATAATGGGTGTCATCACAGAACTCTTGTTCATGGTACTTCAGTCCCGCATGCTGGTTGCGTAAAAGTATGTACGTGTAAACCTCGCTGGTTATGCACCTTTTATCGTTCGACGGTTTTTGTGTCACGCGGCTTACCTAAACAAATGCGTGACAATTGTTCACGTTAGTCCTTACTCTGGCGCCTTGCTCCGACTATCGTGCTTAAACGAAGTAACGCCCTTGAGCCTGTTTGAAGAGGTAAAGAAAAGAGCTTGGGCCGCTACGAGCAGAATGAATAGTGACAAATATTCGATGAATTATCCTCGAGGTCACAGACGCACGGGACATTCGTGCTATAAACAGCCGTTAGCGTCTCACTCCGTCCAAATGTCGTTGATTGGGCGAACGGTGTTCGCACACATGTGCACTTTGACTTTCTGTCCAGATGTCATTGATCGGGCTAACGGTACTCGGACACATCTGCACGAAGCTAACAAAGAAACGATGGCGTCCTCCAGAGGATGTGTGCTAAAAACGCTCCTGCCTCTGTCGGCTAATCCGCTGCCACAATTAGTAACTGCAGTGTGCAAGCGTAATGACTAAGTTCCTAGAACAAGCAGTCTGTGGATTATTTCGTGTCTGTGGATTATTTCGTATCCGTAGTACTTAGGTAGGAACACTCGTTCGTAGCTTTCCGGTATTTTATATTATGTAGTAGATTCGTAGTAGCTATGACCTGGAACAATCCTGTCAAACAGACCGCCTTTTTCGATGGATGTAATGGTGAGCAGGGCGTCAGCTTTCAACGGTGGTATACACCTCCGTGTCCAGCGAATCCGCCGGAGTGGCTGTAGTATCCGCCGACGTTTCCATGGTAGTATCCGCCGCTGTGTCCTGGGTAGTATCCACCGCCTCCGTGCTGGAAGCCGCTGTAGTATCCGCCGCCGCCCCTGCGTCCGAAGAATCCTCCGGAGCCGGCGGCCACCCCGAGCAGAACCACTAAAAGCACCAGCTGTGGAGAGGGACGGCGGTGGGGCCAGGCTGAGAGGGGCGATAGAACATCACGAGCACAGGAAGAATGTTTTACTAGCTAGTTGGCGCCCTTTCAGGCCCGTTATTAACAAATATTTTTTTTTCTTTCAAACAGCTTTTCAATTAAATGTCTTTTGGAGATACATGGATGTGCTCCAGGAACCGAGCATACGTCTTGTTTGAAGTCAAATAGCTATGAAGACACTATTCAATAAAGCGCAATATCATGATTCATGATATTTTCTGTAGGACAATGACCTCTGATTTTCACGTCCTCTGATCCCTCTGCTCGGCCCACTCACCACCAGCTTGAAGTGCATGTTGATGCCGGGTTACGTGTGCTTAGTGCTCTCCTGGGACGCTACTGCCTCGCTCCTGTGGCACTGGGTCGGCAGACGGGCTTATATAGCTCCTCGAGCAAAACACCGGCCTCGCTCGCGATTCCATGGAACTATCTCGGTGGTTCAACTTTTCTCGTTGTTCTTCGCTTGTTTGCAGCTGGGTGCCAACATCTTGTCATGGCGCTAGCCAAGAAAATGTAACGGAGATTAGAGCATAGCGGATCTCAGCTCTTTTGAAAATCAGGCGTATTGTTACCGCTCAGGACACGAGCGGTAATAAGAGTCGGGTGCAGACGGCCATCAACAGCCAAAAAAATACAGATATGATCGGTATGCTTGGACTGTCGCTCCGCGCCCCATGGTGGCGGCGGCTCGAGGGAGCCTATTACAGAAAGCCCGAGCATCGGCAATCATGAAATGCAGTACGCCGTAACAAATAATGATAAGATACACATATGATCGGTCTGCTGTGGGCTGTCGCTCCGCCTTGCGGCGGCGGCTCGAGTGAGTCTATAACAGACAGCCCGAGCATTGGCCAGTATAAAATGCGGTACATCGTAGCAAAACAGATACACATATGATCAGTCTGCTGGGGCAGTCGCTCCGCCTTGCGGCGGCGGCTCGAATGAGCCTATAACATACAGCCCGAGCATTGGTCAGCATACAATGGGGTACATCGTAACAAAACAGCTACACATATGATCGGTCTGCGTTGGGATGTCGCTTAGCCTTGCGGCGGCGGCTCGAGTGAACCCATGGACGTACGGCCGGGGCGTTGGCCTGCATAAAATGCGGTACACCTTAACAAAACAGATACACATATGATCGGTCTGCATTTGGGCTGTCGCTCCGCCCTGCGGCGGCGGCTTGAGGAGCCTATAAACGTACAAGGCCGGAGCATTGGCCTGGGCGGTGTTTCACGGACGCTGCTACCTTGCCATCAAACCGGGGCCTGTTGATGCCTCCATGAAAATCCAATTTACACGTGTAACAGCAGCGCGCTGCTATCACCGGTGAAACAGGGCCCAGCATAAATTGCGGTATACCATATACCGTACCAAGCAAAGAGACCGAAGATCGGTTGGCTTCGGGCTGTCGCTCCGCCTTGCGGCGGCGGCTCGAGGGAGCCTAAAACAGACAGCCCGTGCATGGCCAGCATAAATGCGGTTCACCGTAACAAAACAGATACACCCAAGGCCATATAACCAGGTATGGTCATCCGGTTTTTTTTTACCGTCCCCCTACCGGGCCCGAATGACGTCACTGGGATGGTAACTCGCCGGCCGCCGTCCGTAGCCATTATGGAGGACGGATGTTCAAATACGTTATTAGCGGTTTTTAGTGCAGTTTCGATGTCCGATACAAGGCAGAACGATGTCATGTTTCCTCAGTGAAGCAAATTAGGACCAGCTGTTACTCGAACTCAAAGATTTGGCGGAATTATTCGGATCGGACCGAGCCAACGTGCGCCCCGCCGGTGATCCGCCCAACACATCGGCGGCTTTCTCTTAGATGAAAATCGCCATTGTTTTGCGCGGGGATTCGGAGTCAATGGACTTCTGGTGACTCTGACTCCAACCCCCACTTCCAAAAACCAACTCAGACTCCGACTCCGGGCTGAGTAATCAACTCCGACCGACTCCAACTCCGACTCCGCAGCCCTGCCAGGTCTGCGGAGCCGATGGATTTTCGGTGACCCCGACTCCGACTCGGCTTCCAAAATCGACTCCGAGTCTGGTCAGAACTGTCGACTCTGACTCCGACTCCGCAGCCCCGGTTTTGCATCTATTTCGCCCCGTAATTTAGAGGTTGTGTCAACTGCACAAACCGAAATTGTACCGTAACACAAGCATGCACATTGCGCATTCCAAACTTCTGACTGGAACGAACAAAATGCGTAGGTATACCATATGCCGGCTCATGTCATACCATAAATCGTAGTTATACGTTAAAAACCATATTGGACAGATTGGTAGAGGACACATAAGGCACAAGCCCGATCTATTGCGACTTGAGTAGGTACAATAAAATGTTCCGAACTGTCGGAAAGCTGTACAAGATGTCGCCTCTCCAAACACAGTGTGCCGACTGACCACGCGACAGCCAGGAACCGGGCAACATCACAAGTGAAGCAGAGCGGTGGCACCGCAGCACAGGCTCCCCAAGCTCGTCAAGGCGGCGAGAAAGGTCCGACAGGTCGGTAGCAGGTTCACCACGGCAGCGACAGGTCAGGCAGGTCGGCAGCAGATTCACTAGGGCGGTGGCAGGTGCGACAGGTCGGCAGCAGGTTTACCAGGGCGGCGACAGGTCCGGCAGGGCGACCGCAGTTTCACCAGGGCGGCAGCGTAGACGCAGCGGTAGGTCCGCCGGGGTGGCAGCAGGTCCCAGGGCGGCCGCAGGCTGACCAGGGCGGCGACGGGTCCGGCAAGGCGACGGCAGTTTCGCCAGGGCGGCAGCGTAGACGCGGCGGCAGGCCCGCCGGGCTGGCAGCAGGTCCCAGGGCGGCTGCAGGCTCACCAGGGCGGCGACAGGTCCGGCAGGTCGTCGGCAGGTCCGTCGGGGCGGCGACAGGCTCGGCAGGTCGGCCTCAGCAGCAGGCAGTCAGCAGATTCTCGGGGCAGCCCTGGTTGAGGTAGGATGTCATCAGAAACTGCACGTCTGGGTGCCGGTGTCGGATGTCGTACAGACCACGCAGCGAGGCTTTGCTGCACAGCACGCCCTGCTGGCAGCGCAGGAGTGTCGGCAGCCCAGCGGGTGCTTTCGGGTCGCCTTCCTCAACTTCCTGTCGGAAACTGGCGCTCGCCACTCAGGGACTCGGGCGACGTCTCCAAAGCTGGGAGACAGATGCTGAAGTCGATATGATGTGATTTTATGCCCTCAGCTCGGTGCCAGTCATTGTGCTGTTATGTGCAGGTAGCCACTCCTCGCTCTTCTGCACGCCGCCAAGAGGACCAGCCCCGGACCTGCAAAACACATTACCAAATTTATCATCACAATGCAACAATATGAAAAACATTTCACTAGGCGATGGCAAGCAAAAATAATCAATGCCCCAAAGGTGACTTTTCTTTGATTGCCTTTTCCATGTGCTGACATGAAGCCTCCTCAAAACATGTACCTATTTTATATTTATGTATTGACTGCAGGCCTGACTCGGAATTCAGGTGAAACGAGCAAATAACACAAGTCATTTCATTAATATTTTGAATTTGAGTCTGGCATTACTGTTCCATGCACAGGTGCGGCTGCGTATAAAATCATTTGAAGCAAATGCATTAGGTTAATAGTCTCAACAAATAGAAATTAGTAGTAGCACAGGTGGTATAAATAGAAACCAATATATAGAAAAGGAAGAGCTTGTTTGGTTAGCAAATGTCAATTACATAACTTTTACATAAACAAGAATGGGATTTTCAGCAAACAGCATGTCAGAAATCCTTTAAAATTCAAAATTTTTGCCCAAAATTTGAAAGTTTAGATACAGATGATAAAATCTAGCAACAACTAATATTGAAAAGAAGTAACAATAAGCTTCAACTTTGCACGCAAGATGTGCCAAAATTTTGGTGAGAAATCGCTTGCGCTGAATTTTGAGACATGAAAGCCCCTGACGCATCTAACAGTGTGTGAATTTTTTCATGTCTGGGAGGTAAGCATAGATTGATTTGTTATTTGATGCTATTTTATTTTACAAATA